TCAAGCACGGTTTAGTTTTACGCGTTGGGGCGTACTACTATTAATCTTGGCAAAACGTGTGTGGTCTGTCTTCCTCCACTCAGCAAGAAATTGATACTTGCGGGCGTCAGTGACCTTCATATCGCCATTGTGAGCTACAAACGGTCACAGTTTTGTGCCAATTGCTCCGCACCATCGGCAGTAATGCGATATGGTAGAAGGGATGTAAGGGAATCGATTACCAAATACTGCCTCAAAGGCTTCCTTGTTATTCAGTTTGTTCGGCCCAGGTAGAATTAGAGTCCGTCCGGCTGCCTTCGACCTCGCAGGCGTAGACTTGAAAGGCATCTACCTGCGGATCCGCAGGTAGACCATGTCTGCCACGAAGCGTGTACCAGGGTTTGGTGCGTTCGGTACACTCGACTTGAAGTGTAGTTGACCTCGCAACTTATGGGTTTTCTCCCTTTGCAAAATCTGATGTCCCGCTCCTGGTTTCAGGGCAATGGCACTAGCCAGGTCAACCTGCAAGATTCGACCAAAACATCAAACCTGCCAGGTCGACAAATTTGGCTGGCCGACCTCGAGGTAGACGCCTCAAAGGTCGACCACGGCTTCTGTACCGAACAGCAGAATTTCAAGCGTACGCTTCAAACTGCCTTGAAGCGTACGCCTGAGATTTTGGCTGGGTCAACCTGCGAGGTTGGAGGCAACCGAACGGACTCTTAGGTTATACAGACAAGCCATTTCGGCGATAGTGGCAGAGTCAGCCCACTTTGCAGGACGACTTGGCTGTGCTAGATGTCCGTTGGGATCGTCTTCAGGTGGAGGCTGCTTGAAATTGGAATTGTTGATAGACGGTCCGTTGATAGACAGTTTGTTGGGTTCGTCTTCAGGTGGAGACAGCTCGATATTGGGATTATTAAGAGACGGAGAGCGGTGGCGCTTGTTGTTTTGGCGTGATACATGATGTCCTGCAAGTGGCGAAGTGATCATTGTGTCAAATTGAGGTGTGTACTGGAGAAGTTGGGTTATAGTCCTTTGGGCAAGCGGTGTAGACAACTCACTCTCAGGCTCTGCGGAAGACCTCAAATTGATAATCGTAGCCGGCCCCTTGTTTTTATGTGTTGATGTACTTTTGCGCTGAATAAAGGCACACAACGACATGCTAGCTTTCTTTCCACCAGTGGATACAGAGGCTAGGTGCCGTTCGACATCATGGCATATATCAGGATTGACTTTTGGGAAAAGTATCAGAAGTTTACGCATGTTGACAGGGTATGTCACTACAATATCCATTGAGGTGTGAAGCTGTTCAGAAATGGTGGGTCAACAATAGAAAACAAAAAATTAACGTATAGAGTTCAGAATGTACCCATAGTTGATTGTCTTCGTTCCAAACTTTCAAATTGCCATTCCAGTCCGGTGTGATTTCTTGAGCAACCAGTGCCTTTAAATCAACAGATTCCTTGAGCGCAAAATCTGGCCAGCTTGACGTGTGAACCATGACGGCCCATGAGCTCAGAGGTTCCTCCTAATAGGTTTTGGTATTGATACACCGTAAGATTCTTCATTGAGGTAAAGCAAATCTCACCTTTGAGCCCGTCCACACTACCAACGCAACAGTCCGACTTGCAGTCTCAGATTTGGCGTTTTGTTGTCTTGCGGCAGCTTCTTGTTTCATCGTCATTGTTCTGAATTCGTCTAAAAAATCGGTTTGAGCACGACCTTTATACTTCTTGACACCTTTGCTATGGCTACCCTGGGTGATCAGAGGGCCACTTCCTTCGCCGGTTTCTGCGACAGAGGACGATGTGATCAAGTCGATGATGTCATTATTCGGTAATGAGGAAGTTATTGAGATTCAGCCGTTTTCTGTGATTTCTTTCTTTTGTTGTTTGGCCATTGATTGGTGCTTGTCACATGGTTTAAGTCCGGATGTGTTAAGTTTTAAACAACACTTTTTAAATTCAATTATTGTAAGTTATGTGTCCATATACTTCTACACTACATTAAATTGGTTAC